AAAAAAGAAAAAAAAGAAAGAAATTTAAACAACCTCGACAAATCAAAAAAATATACAGATAAAATCTATTTGTTGGATAATTATGCTTATAGATATCTTAATAGTTTTATTTCTCGATAATTCTTCCAAACTTAATTGTTGTCTTAACTGCCATTTTGTAAAATCTTTCTCAGCGACCATACAAGATGGCAGGCATGCATGAAAGAGCTGGAACAGAATGGTGATTCATATAAACTTTTAACTCATATACTTGTAGTGTGAATGAAAATAACTTCAACTCAAATAATATTACAATAAAACATAACCTTAGCTACCGCTGGAAAAGCTTGTAGTAGGAGCAAACATGCAAATTCCTCTCAATTAATAAACGCTTATGGAGGAAATGATTTCCTACCAATTTTAAGAAAAAAGAGATTGAAGTAAAAATAATTGCAAAAATTCGTCTTTTAATATTGAATAGATTGAGAGTTAATGTCGTATCCACACTATGTCGGTAATTCAGATTACAATGATGATATGTATACGTAAAACTGTATGAAATGGTACAAACTTAATTCTATTTTATTTACTTCCTCTATTTAATTCTTCGTAACTGCCACCATGCATTACATATATTTAAAAAAAAATCGTAATAATAAACTTAAAAAAGTATGATTAAAAATGCTGTATTTTTTTTTTTNTTTTCTTTTTTTTTTTGTCACCCCTTTTTACATTTTTAGCTAATCATAACTGCCTAGAAGTGTTAGCTCCTCCTACTATATATAAAATAATTACAAAGTAAGAAAGTTATAAATGTTTATAAAAATACATAGGGAAAAGTCATGTTTTTAATAAAGATAAGGGAGTTACGTTAACATTATTATCAATTTTTTTTTTTTTTTACAAAAAGATAAAGGCAAATTTATCCCTTTCCATCTTTTTAGTGCTCAACATAAATTTTTTTGCGGTTTTTTTCCCTCAGTGAAATCGCGAATCGCATGTACATTTACGCTTAAGATCAAAATCTGTCTTAAGATCTATCTCCAAAAAAAACAAGAACTGGACAAAAAATATGGAGTAAACTATTACAGAAAGCGCTTAATACCAAAATAAGTAAACTTTTTTTTTAGTATTATGTAAACACTTACTCTCATTTCGGGCGACCGATCAAATATTACATAAGCATTAATACTGGCATTCTTGGACTCCCCCTCCCATTGTCAGTAAAAATAAGAAATCACAAAACCCTCTTCCAAGATAAAGTATCCCAACAACTCTTCCCCTAATTCTTGCTTCAACTTTAATTTCTAATTTTAGGATCGAATTCACCTAAATGACGTCACTTTGCATGCAACAAAATTTACGTTTGAATTCATTTTTGTTAAGCATTGAACTCTACATTACTTTGAAAACTTTTGTGTTTTATGTGCCCTAAATTCTAGACCTCAAAAACACTTCGAAAATATAAAGTTTTTTTTCTTCTAACTTCTTTTTAAGTCGTAACTTTTTCTTAATTTTCAAATTTTATTCCAAATTCGAAACTTTCCCTCGTGTAATTGTTTGTTAATTTTCTTTTTTAAAGAAAATGTCTGAAAATAAGATATATTTATGTCTTATTTTTACTAAATTTTATGACACTAGTAGAAAGTAAGAACAATACTTACATAAAACAATACATTTTCTTTTTAAAAAATGTCCCTTGTGAAGTAATTAAAATTGGACGGGAGTATCACATTTTGAAAAAATAATTTTATAACGGCATGAGAGGGACTGGCAGAGTACTGGCAAACAAAATACAAGGATGCTTTTTGGAACATTTAACCATTTGCACTCTGGTGTCGCGACTTTGGCGCTTTATATCTTAATAATTAGTAACCACATTATTTTAAGAATTTTAAAAATTATATTAAAATACAGTATTATGTATTTGAAATGATTGAGTGCTTATATGAGTTCAAACAGCATTTCAACATAATCGGAGTGCAAACAATTAATTTTGACCCTTTTGTAAATAAATAGTAACTACCGCTATTCATCAACGTTTTAATAGATACTCGGATTCGAAGTACTATACAAAAGATTTTATAAAGTGTTAGGAAATGAGGCACTGGTTTAAAAAGAATTTTGTTTACAAAGTAGCACATTTTGCTCAGGATGGTGACTATCAGGAAAGGCCGGAAGTTAAATAGATTGCAAGAACCTCGTGGGCCCTAAAATCCAATCTAATACAACTATCCATAAAATCTATCAAAATACTTTTTAACTATATTGATGTTTTTATGCGAAAAAAATTTTAAACCAAGTGCTCTAATTTATTCATATTAACGAAGTAAATTTTGCTATTTGATTACGGAATCAGTTTTTATAACATTTTAAACTATGATGCGGCAAATATACTAAACGTATTATTATTATTCAAAACGTGTACAGAATGAAAAAGATTTCTCTATTCAACCCACGTTTAAATTAGATACAAAAATGGCAATAAAAGATAAATATATCATTAGCAAAAATTATGTCATTATGTCAGGTGTAAGTAAACGTTTATACAGAGACTGGATTGTTATAGATTATGTCATTCCTTTCTTCTCCAGCAAAAACCGGTATCTATCTCTTGTTCTGAAATAAACAATTTCTTATGGGTTTCTTACGCCAATTATTGTTTAATCTTATTTAAATCATAGCAGCTTTGGAAAAAAAATATGTTTACATGATTTGTGGTTAATTGTAAATCAATGATGTCATTCTATTTTGTAATATTTTTTCTTCTTTTGTTTTCTAACACCAGTAGTATCACAAAGTTTTTTGGAAAATATTTATTGTTTTTAAAATAAATTCTAAATGAAAACTACCAAAACTTAATGGGTTCATCACTAAAAATCAATGTACATTCTATTATAATAAAAAAATAACAAATATTTCTATCCACTTTCGAAGTTTTCAGAAACAGACGAGTAATTTAAATTTTTTTAAGAAATTAGAGCCATTTAAGATATAAAAATATCAACAATTAATGTATATGTTACTGTGAATGGCCGAAATGAGTAGTTGTTGACTTCCACCGGTGGATGTTAACAATCACATAGTCGCTTTGGTAAATGTCCGAAATATATACTAGGTCTAGTGAAGTGCCACTGCCGGGTATACATTAGCCCGATATGCCCTACATCAATGTTTTTTTAAGATTCAGTGCCACTGCAAGGTATACATTTGCCAGGTATACCCTGCACTGATACTTTTTTAAAGTTAAGTGCCACTGCCTGCATTAAACCGGTACTCCGAACGCTGATGTCTCTCCGTCCTAATCTATCTTCAGCAGATATTATTAAAGTATCGAATAAATATAATAATATCAACGAATAAAATTAATATAAATCGACTAAAATAAATATTTCGAACATTCACCAAAGTGATTGCTAACATTCACCGATGAAAGTCGACATTCTCTTGATGTCGGTCATTCACAGTAACATTAGGTTTGTAATATAAAAAAATGAAGCGTGTGATAGAAATCAAAATATAAATATTCAGTATTATAATCGTATTTCGGCCCTCCCAAATCAAATGTTAATAAGTAAAAAGCGTAATTTTTAAGTTCACTGCAACTACTATTTGAGCAAAAAAAAAAGTTTGAAACCATTGAGTTTGCAATTTTTGAAGCATCGTTATTGATATTTTGGAAACTTTATGGCGTCGGTAAATTGTTGGCTTTGTTATAATTATTTTGCAGGCGTCAATCGATGATTTTTCTTTGTTGCTGTTGCCGAGATCTTACTTTTGAAATTTTGAGAAGAAAAAAAATGTGGAATTTTCGCAAAATTATTTTATTAAAAACTAAAGCTCATTTTTTCGAAATATATATTTAAAAAAAAATCGTTTATATAAGATGATAAAAAATTATGATTACTGAAAAATTAAGGCCAACTAATTTGTCTATTGCATGCTTTTAAGAAATTATCTATTGTTGCTGTTTCACATTTATTTGTATCAATTTTAGATATGTTTTTGTTAGATTTACGCAAAAGTGACTATCAATATTTGTTTTTGAGTTGTAATAATACAAACAAACTGAAATATGAATGATGCATTATAATAGAAAAATAGGCTGCGTTTAGAAAGAAAAAAAAACTTTTTTGAAGTAAAGAATTTGAGAAAATTTCCTTTTTGAGACTCACAATTTTCTAAAATTTATCTAAATATATATTGCCGGGCATATAAAAATATATAGTTACTTACAGGTAAATTACTGAACAAAAAACTTTTAATGCAATTTTTTTAATATCTCTTTTGTTACTCACAGGAAAATGAGATAAAAAAATTTTTTAGTAGCAATTCAATGTAAGAAAACGCATTTCTAAAGTTTACTAGACATTTTTAAACATCGAAATAATTGGAGAAAAGTAAAAAAAGAGGTAATATAAAAGTCATAAAAAAGATAAATATAATTATAAAGAAATATTGTACATAAACTTGAATAATATTGATTCGATCGATAAAAAATGGATGCTTCAACATGCTCATCTAAGTAGTTTTATTTAAAGTAAATAATAGTATAGTCCACATTTAAATGCAATATATAGATTCGCTATTAAAAAAAAATTAAGCATTATAATCTGGTTGTTGTTTGAACTAAATTTTAATATCACTGATTGGATTAATCTAAAATGAATGGGATATGCACACTGAAACAGTTTTACTGCTGCGAATAACAGCTTGATCCAAATTTGTGTACAGTACATTAATTAATTATCAAAAAAAATTCAAAATTTCAGCATTACATTCTGGTATCTGTTTGCAACTGAAATTTAAAATATCATTGAGTTTGATCGATGAGAAACGAATGCAATAATGCATTAGCGCATCGGAATAGTTTTATTACATTGAATAATAGTTCTTTTCAAATTTATTTGCTGCATAAGATTAATTGTTGGGAGAAAAAAAAAATTTTTTTTGTGCAAAATATCCCCATTCTATTGAAGCAGTTTCTTTCAAAAATAAATAAATAATGCACAATTACTCACCGCTGTATTCCTTGACTTGATTTTTATCTATCCACAGAGTAATGTCATCTCCATTGCGATTGTCTCTGTGTTCTCTGGATGCACCGACAAAACATTCCATCAAAATAATTCCACTCAAGAAGCATAATCTAAACATCCTTCTCTGCACATGCATAAACAGACCCCATGAATACCGTCAAGAGATCACCTGCCTCTCCTCCTCAAAAGTTGCCGAGAATCCCATTTTGACGTCACTCTGTACTCACGGCCAATCCCTGGACAGGTACGCAACTTTCCCTCAGGCTACCCCGTTACAAACTTTTTTTGTTTGCTATCTTTGGCGAGACATCTTCCAAAACAGTTTTTGTTAGAAATACTCAACTAAAGTCGAAATTTTTAAAAGTGAGAAGATTTTTCTTTTCATTTTATTTTTTTAATGGAGACAAAAATGTTTACATCTCATTATGAAGAGTAGTCAGAGCCTGGAAAAAGGGTTTTTTTTTTTTTTTAATGGTAACAAAAAAATTTTTTTTGTCTAGTTGTTCAGAGTCTGGAAAAATGTTTTTTTCTTTTTTTTAATAGAGGCAAAAATATTTACGTCTAATTATCCAGCGTGGCCAGAGTATATATTTTTTTCTTTTTTTTAATGGTGACAAAAATATTAATATATAGTCAAACCTCGATATCTCGAACTTGAAGAGAGAGAAGATAAAATTTGAGATATCGAAAATCGCACGTTATAGATGGCAGAATAAAGAAAAATGCTCTTTACATACCTTATTTACTATTCCATATTTATTCTAAAAATATTTTTTACACTTTCATTTGAAAAAAGATTCAATTATAGTTTGCTTTAGAGATGTGTAAGAAAGTTTGTCTACAACACTTTCTAAGTGGACTATAGCTTTAAATGTCTCCTCTGACATATTCGGCTGCCTCTCAAGGAATCTCCTTACAGTGTCCACTGCAGAAAGTGCTTGTTTGTTAGTAACATTGGACGGTAAATCTTAGATTTCCACATCCTCTTCTTCTGATAGTTCACAAGAAACTTTCGTTTGAGCGATGATATCATTGTCATCCCACTGACCACACACTGTTACTACATCATCTACGTATACAAAGTCATGAAATTCCATGTCATCAAGCTTCATGAGTCCGGTCAATCTGTCCCANGACCTAAAAAAAAATGTTCGAAGCGCACCGGGCAAATGTTGATTGGGTAGTGGCACTGAACCTTAAAAAAACATCATTGTAGGTTATACCGGACAAATATGTACAGGACAGTGGTACCTAACTAGACCTAGTATATATTTCGGACATTTACCAAAGCCACTATGTGATTGTCAGCATGCACCGATGAGAAGTCAACAACAAAATTCGTGAAATCAAGTTTTTTTAACATTGAGTGTATAGGAAATTTGAAGGGAACTTTTTTTCCTTCAAGATATTGAAAAATTCGTGAAATCGAGGTTCGAGTTAGCGAGGTTTGACTGTATACGTATAGGAGTTAATATATCTGTTAANATATGTCTGTTAACCCATCCCCCCGACGTTACGTTGGCGCAACATTTTGCAATGTTGTGAAAAGCACTTAAATAGGGATGATGTGACAATCACTTTAAAATTTTTAAAAAAATATTACAATCGGAAAACACGGCAGGGAGGACAGCTGCTTCGCTTTCAGCAAAAGAAATTATAATGTGGTAAAGAGGTTGAAACTAAAACTTGCATAACTTAACTCACCCATTTTCTAAAAGGCAAACCACGACTTAATTTGCATCCTATATCAATATTTTCTCATTATGAAGAGTAGTCAGAGCCTGGAAAAAGGGTTTTTTTTTTTTTTTAATGGTAACAAAAAAATTTTTTTTGTCTAGTTGTTCAGAGTCTGGAAAAATGTTTTNCAATTACTCACCGCTGTATTCCTTGACTTGATTTTTATCTATCCACAGAGTAATGTCATCTCCATTGCGATTGTCTCTGTGTTCTCTGGATGCACCGACAAAACATTCCATCAAAATAATTCCACTCAAGAAGCATAATCTAAACATCCTTCTCTGCACATGCATAAACAGACCCCATGAATACCGTCAAGAGATCACCTGCCTCTCCTCCTCAAAAGTTGCCGAGAATCCCATTTTGACGTCACTCTGTACTCACGGCCAATCCCTGGACAGGTACGCAACTTTCCCTCAGGCTACCCCGTTACAAACTTTTTTTGTTTGCTATCTTTGGCGAGACATCTTCCAAAACAGTTTTTGTTAGAAATACTCAACTAAAGTAAAAAATTTTAAAAGTGACAAGATTTTTCTTTTCATTTTATTTTTTTAATGGAGACAAAAAATTTTACATCTCTTTATGCAGAGTGGCCAGAGCCTGGAAAAAGGTATTTTTTTCTATTTTTAATGGTAACAAAAAAAATTTTTTGTCTAATTATTCAGAGTATGGAAAATTGTTTTTTTCTTTTTTTTAATAGTGACAAAAATATTTACGTCTAATTATCCAGCGTGGGCAGAGTATATTTTTTTAATTTATTTTTAATGGTGACAAAAATTTTAATATATATGCATAGGAGTTAATATGTCTGTTAACCCATCCCCCCGACGTTACGTTGGCGCAACATTTTGCAATGGTGTGAAAAGCACTTAAATAGGGATGATGTGACAATCACTTTAAAAATTTTTAAAAAATATTACAATCGGAAAACACTGCAGGGAGGACAACTGCTTCGCTTTCAGCAAAAGAAATTTTAATGTGGTAAAGAGGTTGAAACTAAAACTTGCATAATTTAATTCACCCATTTTCTGAAAAGCAAACCACGACTTAATTTGAGCTAAGTGGCATCCTATATCAATTTTTTAATTATTTAATAAAAGGGTGGGTAGCATAATCTTAAAACAAACTTTGATTTTTAACTATTCTACCGATTTAGTTCAAATTTTGCTGTGTAAAACTCCCTGAAATGATGTAAAAATTTATATACCTTACGAGTCAAAAATTTTTTTGACTGTTATCAAAGAAAACAATAAGTATTCACTGAAAGCTACTTTTTGAATACAAATATTTTTGGATAAACAAATTTTATAATTGTGTGCTAAAAATTTTTAAATCACTAAAAAACATTGCGAGATATGGCGAAATACACAAAAAACAAAATTAACGTTAAGGGGTTCAAACTTTGAACCCCTCTCCTGACCAAATTATTGGAACCCTAATTGGATCGTGGCTACCCTGCATAGTTTTGGGATCAAAAATTTTAATCCGTCAAAAAAAAAAAGAAGCTTTGTTTATTCAGAGAAAGTACTTTTTTGTGCTTGATTTCGTAACTTAAAATATCTCTTGCAATTTATGGTCATTATTAATTAGCATATTTATGGTCACCCCCTCGAACCATTAAAAATGAGTCCTAAAACGTGAAGAATCGATACAATATCTCATCATTAGATATTCAATAGTTATTCAAGGTGGTCCATTCATTTCTTTTGCGCACTGTACATTTATTTGTTAAACAAGGAAGAATTTTGAAATGGACATAAAATGTTTTTCAGCTAGACATTTGCTACAAATGGAATACTGTTCCGTTTACCCCTTATATTTTCTTATTTTACTCTCTGTTCTGTAGAAATCAGGAAACTTATTATGTTTTTGAATCAATGACGATAAAAATATAATTGATAATTTACTCTTTTTATGTGGTACTCTAAGGCATAATTAGGTGATAGGGAAATATAAATTTTAAATTTCAGTTTGAACAACATGTATCTCACTTCATTTACTGAAGTAGGTTGCTCATGAAGTTCACACATAAATATTTCAAGATTTTTCATAAGAGTATTTGATAAAATCCAGGATGTTCTTATTTCTTTAAATGCATCAATATATAAGTTTTTACTTTTCATTGTACTCAGCGCTTCCATTTTCCTCTTACCTTTAAAGGCATTCGTTGCATCCTGTTAAAATACGTAGGCTTTAGTATGTAAAATATGAACTTAAACTGCTAACATGTGTTTTAGATTTCCAAAATCTTTCCTATTACAAGAATCGTACTCTTAACTATTTATCAGAAAGAAGAACTACAAGGATATCCTTTAAATTTCTATTCCTTTCCGATACAATATCTTTCAGCATTTACGTTATGAATATAGATAATCGACAACTGTCACCTTATCAGAACATCTATTTGTATTTTAAGTTATAGCGCATTCAATATGACTTCTTGGGACTTTTACTAAGTAACTGGTTCCGATTTTAACTTATCGTTCTTGAAGAATGATGTTACCGGATCAGCCCAAGGAGGCATATATCTTTAACGGGATATGGGAGGGGATTTTTTAACTAAACTATTGAAACCCTATTTTCTAGATCCGGATTGCGCACTGCCATATTTTGAGGGACAAAAATAAAAACCGTCGAGATAAAGAAAAATGCATGTTCATAGCAGCCAACAGTTGCACACTTAGTGAAAAAGATTTTTCTAATGATATGTGAATGACATAAGGATTTCTTTTTTTAGCGCTTTGTGAGGTACTGTATAGTGAATATATATATATATATATATATATTATACCTTT